GGTAAAGAAAATGAGATGTCTCTCTCCCCTCTTGCAGACATGCCTAATTGAATGTTGTAAAAAAAGTAAAAAATGTTTTGCACATCTTCAGGTCATTAATAGAACCCAAAAAAATTGGACACCAAAAAATGCATGCGTGTATGGACATCTTTACCACAACTTATTATTCAAGGTTATTTTTAATGATGATATGATGATGCAACGCTGTTACAATAAATTTGGAGATCAACATATTTCAATGCATGCATGTCACCTGCAAAATAACACTGATTCAAAAATGTAGTGATTCAACGTCTGTTGACAATAATAATTAAACACAGACTTATGTCCTGGACCCAAGAGAGGGAGCTAACTAAAATTTGCAGGTTCAAGTTAACTGTCCTGCAAATTAAAGTCTCCTTCCAGTCTCATTGGTCCTGGACACCTGGTGTCTGTGAGAGAGTGTCTGCCACAATTATCTATCAGTTGAAACATTTACACAGTTGAACCCAGTCTGTTTTACAGACACTGCTTCACATCTGTATACACCTCTTTGTTACAGACAATTAACTTAAAGGAACACTATGGTCTGACTGATTGTGTGTATTTTGATTAACTAATACCTTGAGGAGAAGCTCAGCCTGAATCCGTGTGTTCACAGATGGAGTTCAGTGGCATCAATTCAGGATTATCTGTACAAGAATAACTAGTCACATTATAAACTTCAGCCCTAGCAAGTGTTTTTTTTTTTCAGTACTTATTTAAATGAGTTAATAAAACTTCAGTTGAAAAATTATTATGTACTAAATCTATTTGGCCTCAAATTATCTTAGATATTTTTATTTATTCAAACAATTAAAACGTTCTCTGGCTGAAAAATTCAGGATAAAATAAGCTTTTGGCTTCTAACCTACAGCCTTTGGCGAATGAGCAATAAATAGATACAGCGAAAAGTGTGAAAAAACTGTACAGAATAAAAATGCATAATTAAAATGGCGATAACAAACGGGAACTTGGATAATGAAAAGAGACTAATTTAAAAGATTAGCGTACTGTCTTGCCAGTGGTTTAGAATTATCGTCCGCTTCATTAGCTCATGGTAGTGTGCCATGAGTCGAGAGTTTTTCGCACACTACATCCGCCCTTGTCGATTGCTTTAGCGTTATCAAAGTCGATTTGATGATCGTTCAACCATACATGGTTTTAAACGTTGGAGCCTTTGTTGCAATGCTTGACATTGACATGTTCTTTTTTCCTCGTTTGGAGGCACCTGCTTGTTTTTTCCAAGATAACTCCAAGTAGATTCACTGCAGGGAATCTTATAGACAACGTTTGTTTGGAGGTGGCTGAGTAGCCTGAATTCCGGCGAAGGGAATTTTGCTGTAAATTTTCTGTATGTTCTGGTAACATTTCAAAATCCATTGTTACGAAGTAATCTTTGAAGTGGTTCGTTGACTCCATTGATGTAGGACCATGTAGGGCTGAGAAGCGAAATTGAAACTGGTCACAGATGGCTCAGCCCACTTGAAAAACATGCCGACTGATTTTTCTGGCAAAGGAAGTGTTTCCATGAGAGGCTAATTCAACCCTCACTACAGACACCCACACTACAAAAAAATGTTTAACACCGGATTATATTCTGTTTGAAAACATTTTTTGTCATTTCAATTTGCCAAACAAGGAACAAAAGAAATCGTTTTATTTTATGATACTACTGACGTTTTGAAAGAGCTAATACTAGCAGAAAAGAAATACACACAACCTTGTACTATAATGAACAACTGTTTGATAACTAGAGGCAGATACGCCGGAATATCTAAACTTGTTACAAAAGGTAAGACTTTCTTCCACTTTGTCAGGTGCACTAGCTAGTAACTTACAAGTTTCTATTTGTGGCTATAATTCCCATATAACACATTGCAAACGCACTTGAAACAATAACAACAGTGGTAAAAGCTTCTGCTGTCTGCAGCAAAAAATAGTTTGTTTCCCTAGAGTCAGGAGATGATTCATTAACTTATAATCGTGCATATTTCCAGTAATCCCACGCATAATTTCTTGATCATTCAGTTTAGTAAAGTGCTATGCCTAAACAGTTAACCCAAACAATAAACGCATTCCAGAAAGGTTTCATCACATGTACACAATAAAACAAGAAGTGCTCTAGGATCACGGCTCTCCAAACCACAAAAGGTACAGAGAGGAGTAAAGTCAACTCTCGCCTTATAACGAGAGTCCGCAATAGCGGGATGTCATGAAAATGACCCAATTTTTGGTTGTGAAATGTCACATATGATGTATAGTGCTATACGCTTTTAAGGTTTCCGGTTTCTTTGATTTGTAGTACACATTTACTTTGATACATAATCATACAATACAGTTCAAATAGTGTACAAACTAGTAAATATCCCAAGATTTCAGAATAATTATGTCATTCAATTCATTGTTACAAGACTAGACTACACAAACTTTAGTTTAGACAATATTAAGTGTCCACAATTCCGTAAAAGCGGTCCGAGTTCGTTATAGCGGTAGTGTTTGTAAAACACTTCCTTGTAGTTTCGACTCAAGGGATGTAGCTTCAATCTGTAATAGCAAGAAAGGTGTCCGTTGTAGACTTAAAATAGAATTATTGACAGACCGACCAGTGAGATACCCCCCGGGGGGGGGGGGGTACTCCCAGAAAAGTTGAGTAGGGGTGTGTAGCCCACTTCCCAAAACCCTTACCCTATTTATGACCAAAATCTGCAATTTTTGCTACCCTACATGTATTTATGACCTGNGGGTACTCCCACAAAAGTTGAGCGGGGGTGTGTAGCCCACTTCCCAAAAGCCTTACCCTATTTATGACCAAAATCTGCGATTTCTGCAACCCTATTTATGACCTGGCCAAAATTTCGATACCCTTTTTATGACCGTTGCGGCTGACACAGTTGCCCTAAACATAAGTTTCGAAGGGCTTCTATTGACGGTCTTATTGATAATGATGAAAAAGTAGCTTCTTCCAAGAAACATACCCAATTCAAGACTAAATTGCTAAAACCATATCCTATTTAAGACCAAAATGGCCAAAGTTGATACCCTATTTATGACCAAAACGGCTGAAAAACCCTACCCTTTGGGCCGCACATACCTATATAGCCCAT